TTTAAATTCAAGCCAAAGTACTTTTCCAAATGGTGAATAGTTTTGAAAAAGGGAACATACGTTTTACACAATTCAGGAATTCTTTTCGTACCGTTCCGAAATCATAACCTAAATAAAAGAACCAATTGACTATTGATGTTTCAATTTGTTAAAATGATAGATATGCTGTCTAGAAAAAAGTTAGCGTTGGAATTAATATAGTATTCATTCACAATATCAGCACACGAAAATAATGCCGGAATAAATGTACTTCCATTTAAGAGTGTATGTAACCATAAGAGGCTGCATGAAACAGCAACAATAGAACCGAATTTCAAGAATATGTGAAAAAACTAATATATAAAAAAACCGTGCAAAAACACATTTATTTATACTTTTGTAAAAATAGTAAAGTGACCACAGCTGCAGGATTCAGAAATTTCTTCAAATTGAAATTACTTATACTTCCATTTTCACGATAGCATTTTCCGTACCTTAGAAAAAAAAACTGTGTTTTCCCGAGTATCGCCAACGCTGAATTGAATAATATATACCATTCCAAATGACAAGTCGACCTTAACACTAGACGTTTTTTGCGCATTCCACGTAATACACCGCCTAAGCCAGCCGTTCTCTCGCTCTCGCTGATTGCTTTCTATTTCGTTGATAACAGAAAAGAATTTGAAACAATTTATTCACCTCTCAACTAAGGTTAACAAGTTCTCAGAACTTTGATATATGCATATTTTGAATATTTAGGTTGAACGGGTTGATGCAAAAAGGTTTCAACGTTTCAACAGCAACATCCGGTACGGTAGAAAGTATTTCATAATATCAGAACAAATCTCAACGAATAGTGTCATGAAGTACAATATCATCTACTCAAGACAAAAATTAAAAATTTCATATGAACCCTGACACACAGGATATTTCCATAAGGTAAACAAGGTGTTTGTAACAGTTCCAAACAAGACGACCTTAGATATAATAAAAAAATCCTTCATTTCCAAAATGGTTACTAAAAACCTCAGAATAAACAACTCTCGTTTGAAATATGCTGAAATTTCAAAACATCATGAGCAAATATTGGTACAATGGTTCATAACTTATTTCTGGGATTTATGGGTTTACCTCCCTTCCTTTGAATGACGTTTGGGAAAAACTCGTCACTTACTCACGAAAAAGAGTATCGTAGGAATACTTGAAACAATTATTTAGTGACAGAACTACATCGCAAGATTACTTCATAAATCAAAACACAGTTGAAAATAAAATTTTGTCTTGACGTTTATTGTGGAAAAGGGATATGTTACCATAATTTTCTAGAACATTTGCTATTTACAGTATAAGTGAATTCAAAGCAGACAGTGAAGTTTTTGTACGCCACTGGTCAACTGATATACCTACCTAATAATTGGCATATCCTTCCTAGTATCCTAATGGCCTTGACAAGTCAAAGGTTTCTAGGTAAAATGAAATATGTATTCTGTTTTCAGGGGTTTTAAATATACCTACAGGCAAAGTTGTGTGCAAATAGAGGGAACAATGTGAAGCAGCATTAAATATAAATTTTGAAAATGATTTACAAAATGGTTAACAAATACAGAATCGAATCATAAAAAAAAATCTCAAATATGTAAATAGTAATGTAAAAAATTAGGCTATTTAGTCTGAATATGTAATTTGCATGAAATCAAGTACAGAATTGAAACAATTTCGTGTAAGGTACTCTTTAATTTTCCTTTTGAACAAAGAAAAATTCAATTCAGTCACAGTATATGGAAGTTTATTAAATAATTAAACGTCCAGAGAATTTCGCAATGACATTTCAAGTCTAAATATTGGTTGTCTGAGTTGTCCCGCATTTCTATTTTCATAATTCTGATGATCTGAGTGTTAAGAGAGTAGTATTTTGTTTTTATGTATTTCTAACAGTGAGGTAATTATCAATAGAATTTCCAAACTCGAACCAATTTCAGAATAACATATGCTAATTAATGATTCGTAGGAACGCAGCAAATTGTTAAACTAACTTGCTCGCTTTTATCCCTATTCATTTCAGATTTAAACTACATGAAGATTAAAACGACATATCCCACAGGTAAAGGGATTTCTCTATACCTAGATTATCAACTTCTTAGACTAATTTAGATTAGGCTAGTTTTTCTTAGAAATACAGTGTAGGTATGTATTTGTCATTAGATCAGTTGTCGTGGTAGTTGACGTTTGTATAATCCATTTATTGCTGTTTGAAAGCAGTTTTCATTGTACGCATGACAACTGACATTAGTGACATAAAATCAGAACAGCCAACTCAGAAAAATACATATGTTGCAAACTAAATCTCCATTTGATGTGTTTACATGTAAGGAAGTTGAACTGACACAAAAAACGAGATGAAAATTTACTCATTTCGTACATTTTACATGCGTTCTTGCTGCAATAAATAATTTCAAGTAGCTTTCAATAATTCATTCTCCTTATCATCAACTATAATTTTTAGGTCATTTCTTATCGGTTTATTCGTTGAATTACTGTATTTTGCACATTTTGATAATAAGTTGAATTTATAAGTATCGATAACTATGAAAACCTATTTGAAAAAGTATTTAAAGAACACTAGATACGTATGCAACAGATCTGTCAAATAAGTTTGAAAAATTATATATAAATCAGTAAGTACATCTCCAAAACCACAAGACGTGGTTCTCTAAATACGTTAGTATTTGAATTACAACTGGGCCTGTATTAAAGGATCTAGATTTAATACTCGCCCCGTTAAACATGTTAGGCGATATTATGGTCTAAAAACTCCTTTCATACCAGAACCAAACTTGGTCTATCATCTTCTGATGATGCTAACTTGGTTAGCGAAACGCGTTTCCAGTGACAAGTGTTTTGTTCTGGTGCGGAGAAGCGTTTTTCCCAGATGGTTTTCACGCAAGAGGTTTTAATCCCACTTATCGAATGATATTACGGTTATAAAGTTCGTCAGTAGATAAAAATTTGAAAATAAATTTGAGAATCAAGTGTATGTATCAAGCCGATTCCTTGTCAAGTATCAATATCGCAATTCTAGTAACATGTCCATTAAAGTATATTACAGTAATACGTACGTACTACCTGAAACATATCCTATTCAAAAGATATTTTCAAAACTCTACCTGCTTAAGCCCCTGGTCAGATATTTTCAGAGCGAAACCCATGTTGACTATAGTTACTTTTTATATTCTCGGAATTATTACGAGAAATCTTTAAAGGATTTCATAAGAAAATTGCCTAACAGACATGAACAAAATAAGTATTTTTCTGAAACAGATACCAGCTAAATAATCTATATAATACGAACAAATTAATTATGTCCTCTCTGCGCCCAATCTACCTGCAACAGGGTCGATTCTCACTAGATCAACAGAAACATGCATTTCTGTAGATGACTTGAACTTTAATCGAAATAAATTGCAGATCTATTCAAAAATGATTTGCTCCTCTTCTTTTAACAGATATATCGTGACTTCTCCTAGAGCTCAACCCACACTACTTCATAAATTTAGGCTCATTTTGCCCCCGCCGCAGATTTTTTTATGCCAAATCGAAACTCTCCACTTATCGGAAAATTTGCATATGCAATATGATATTGTACATTTTTTACCCCTCTTTTGAAGTGAATATTCGGGTTTTTACAGGAACACACGATAAAAGCCGGAAATAAAATAAAATATTCTTCAAATATAGGCGAAAAAAATTAACTGAGAATGTCAGACTCATTTTAGGCTTCTTGTTCTTTTTAAACCAGTGGTATCTGCTAGCTTTACAGTTTAATTGGAAAATCAAATCAAAATCCTTCATATTGAATTAAACAATTGGGTGAATACCTCAGACATAAATAGAAAGTCGGCGATGGATGGAATTGGAGCCCAAAGTCGCCCAAAGTAATTATCCAAATATTCGATATAAACGAGGAGAAACTAATTGTTCAATAGCGTAATGAAGGAGCCGAGAATAACCCCAAAATTATTGCAAAATCAAAATTTCTGAAAAGTGGATTTCGATTGGACTCATGGAAAGGCGACAATGGAGGAACAATATCCAATATATTTCTATCGCTGCCACACTCAAAAAAATTATCCCAAAAAATAATTTTCCCCAATGAAGGAGAAGAAGATCGAGTAACAACCTTGAACTATTGGATGATTGAAATTTCCAAAAAGTAAAGGATTCCGACTCAGTTCGAGAGCCGAAAGGTAAAGCTAACAGAACCCTTTGGGCTAAAACAAACGGCAATATCTCAATATATTTCAATCTATACCCCAGTCCAAGAATATTTCACAAAAAATGCTTGGTTCTGGCGTCTTGACGTAAAGCTAGCAGAACCTACTAGTTGAAAAAAACAACACATCGAAAGTCAGCGATTCCAAAATTCTTAATATATTTGTTCTCACTCACAATTGAATAATATTTATCTTTGAGTCTGAGGTAATCACCAAAACATTCAATTCAAAAGAGAGACAAAAATATCTTAAAGAAGCAGCCTAAAATTATTGCAAGTTCAAGTTTTCCAGAAAGTGAAGAATTTCGATTTGGTTCTGCTAATTAGTAATGAAGCTAGCAAACCCTCGAATTTATAAAAAAAAACAGCGCATAGATAATCGGCGATATGGGCATAAAATTATGACGTAGTCTCATTCAAGAAAATTATTTTTCTGTGTGTCACTTCTATTAAATGAGGAGCAAACAATTCTTGAATAGAGAACAAAATTAGTTCGACAAGGGTGAAATTTTGATAAATTTCAACAATTGCTCGAAAAACTTGTCTAAAACTCGCGGATAAATTGAATGAAACATTTGAATAGAATCTCTCAACAAACTTCAAACTTAATAAAGACTTAGTGTACATTATAGAGGTATTCAATCGAATACTTTAACTGAAACAAATACCTTATTGAATAACATCACCAGAGTTTAACATTATAACAACAGCACAAAACATATTGCAACAAAATACATATAAATAAACTCACCATTTTGATAAATATAACAATCAATTCCTCACAATAATAATAGACACCAATATGACACGACACTCAATTGATAACTGATAACATTAGGCAGAAACACAATTATTTCTCATATAGGGTAGGTAGGTAGATATTAACTATTGAAATGTTGGTACACTGGAGCACTCCTGCAACTTAACAATTATGACCGGCAACTAATATTACCACGTGTCTCTTGTTGCCTTCTCGTAGTTCCTGAAAGTTCCAACTTGACGCTTGCGCATTCAGTTACAAGGATAACGCTCGATCTTTGCTACGTAATCCAAGTGCGACGCGGGAAAGATTAACTCGGCAACATTGCCAATTTATCTAAAATATCTCGATAGGGTAATCATTTCTTTATCGACATATTTCTCGAGTGGTGTATCTTTCAAATTATCATCAAATTTTCCATCAAAATATATTTCAATAGAATTGTTTGGCAAGATTGTGAGTAACTGATCCAAAGCCCCAATAGGTTTAACCGAACTCAATTTTTCCATAGAACACTTCTTTGCTGAATTAGATCAATGTTTTCAAAATGTAAGCTATTTGCCAAAGAAATTTGGTGTTCGAATAAAACTTCAGCAATATTCATTACTACCCAAAAGATTCCAAACAGTGCATTTCAAGTACCTACTTATTCTCAATCACTTGGGAGAAATTAAAAACACCCTGTTGAAATGAAATAACAATACACGTGTAATAATAAATTAAATGACAGTCATTTCCTAATAAATTATCTGAAGTTGAATATGTTTGCGAGTTGTCGTTCGTATGGGGGCGACATCTGATTAACGGAAAAACAGATTTTTTTAAAACAGATTCTTCAATCCTAAAAATTATTGCGAAAAGATGTCACTCGCTCACGGCAAAAATATTCAATGAGAACAATCGTTCGAATATTACATGGAATGAAATCTGACAACGTTGGACGAATGGTACACAATATCCAGTATTATCAAATACTACCTATACCTGTTACAGAAATTTAATATTAACATATTGAGTAATATTTCGACAATATTGGATCTGACACGAATAGCGAGAAATTGACCTGTCAAAAGAAAGAAGTTAGGTAGTATAAGGATATTCACGTTAAGAGAATGAAGTCATTTTTGGTAATTTTGTATATTCGACATAACAATGTTAAAATTCCCAATGAAATGCGTTCAATAGCAACGAAACTAGTGAAATTTCATTCTGTGAGTTGCTCAATTGATTTCAGACGTTACCGAATCGAAAAAAACTCGAAATCTGTCACTCTTTCTTTTCTTTTCAGAACTGATCATTTCTTTTGATAAGACCTGCGTATACTCAATATGCCTAAACATTGTCGAAACAGTATCAACAAATAGTAGCGTCTTTAATAGACTACTTTGAAAGAGTTCCACTAACTGCTCTTAGAGACGCAAGTTATATTAATTGTATTCATTATTACCTATCCTACATCTATAAGAACTAAACAAAAATTATACAGCGAGTATATAAATGATGGGTTGGATTAAATATTTGTCGATTGTTCAATTCAGGGGGTTGCAGATGCCTCGAAGTCGAGTATTACTATTGTAAATCGACTAAATCTAATAGAGGTGAAATATGGTATTTGGTTTTTCGTTAATAACTCAAAAAATATTAATATTTAAGCCATTTTGAAAAAAGCTCGTTAAAGAGTTCAATAGCGTAAT